ATGTGAATCTGTGGTATCTTGAATTTTCCAAAGCAGAGAGATGTATAACAAAGTAAAAATTAAGACTGTGATTGAAAATTCAATTTTTCTTTAAAAAATTTATAGCAATCTTTTTTCAGGTTTAAATGATATCGCCCACTAAATCCTATAAGACAGGCATTCCATTTCCTAATATCTTCCACTAAAACCTCTAACACAGGCATTATATTTCCTATCATTGATAAATTTTGCAAGAGTCATGCTCTTTCTTATGCTTAAAAGAGACCAAAAAGTAGAGATTAGAAAATGATATTTATCGTTACAAAAAAAAAAAAAATGTTTTTAAAGACTAGCACTCCAAGTGCAACAAAGTAGACCTTCCACAAAGGAATATCCATTGTTGTTTTCTTTAATTTATCAAATAATGTAATGACAGTTAAAGGTCTTATAAATATGGATACAATTTGCTATAGATAACATGCATTATTTTGTTCTTCAAATACTATTACTACTCCTTTGTTGTTTACGCTGTTTGTCTGGGTAGTTGTTTATTCCCATGGACACTGAAAATGGAAAAGTATAAAGTTTATAATCTAGGTAAATCCTAATCCCCCACAAGGTATCAACTTAAAACAATTAAGAAATAATTATGCACATGACAAAGTAAATTGATTGTTAAGGACACATGATGACTTACTAAGATTCTGCTCCTAAAGTGAGAGATTCTGCACCAGTGAGAGAATTGGGCCGGGCATAAGGTATGCCAATAAGCTTTACCATATGCCAACTATTCCTGATTGGAGGAGGAGAGTGCCCTGAAGAGAGAGTACAAGGACAGGAAGAAGCCAGGTATAAAAGAAAGTTTTCATTCCGCAGGCAACACAGATTCCTGAGCAAGGAATTTGCATGGTAACGATGGTCGGAAGAAGTGCTAGAAGCAAAGACCAGACTCTGCAGGAAAGCCAACTTGGAACTAATTAGGCTGCCAGAAGCAGAGGAGAACTTGAATTAAAAATGTGAGAATGAAAAACAGAAGATTAAAAAAAAAATCAACCCTATTAAAACACACTTTCATACCACCTGTGGCTTCTGTAAAGTAATGCTAACACAAGGCAGGTACATGAGCAAGAAGCACAGAACCCATGTTGACAAACCAGGCTCATTTATTCAAGGAAACGCTTTCCGACATCTCAGATCCTGAGCCAATTCTAAGGAAATAGCTAAAGCAACGAAAAATCCAAAGGTTCTGCAATACCAGAATTTCTCAACTAAAGAAGCCATAGGGCAAGTTTAAAGGAAGCAAAAAGGACTAATGATGTAGCTTCTCAAACAGCCGGTTGATGGAAGCAATGGAAAAATATTCACCAAGCAGGAGAAATCTAGCCCCTCCTCTCATTTTTACTCCACCTATAATATATATTTACACCAAGCAAAAAAGGAGGTAAAGGTGTGGACTTTTATTTGGTGTTTTTTTTTTAATAAAAACTCAAAGTATTAAAGTGAAATAACCTATGAAGAATTAACTCATGTAAACTTTACTCTTATATAATCTAATCCCCGATAGCTTTAAAAACTATAAACTAAGTATATAGTTTTTCAATAAGTATCCATATGTACAATAGTTTCACTGAAACAACAGTCTTGGCCTAGTGATACTGCCCTTGGATCCATAATAAGTTATCCTCAAAGACATAACAATAAACAAAAAAGTTTTCTCTGAGACAATGAGCCATATGTACGGAAGGAGAACGCTCCTTATTTTAAATAAATGTATCTATTTAGTAGTGCTATTCTCATACTAAAATCTGGAAACACCTAACCCTGACTTAATTTTCTTTGGGTCATATTGGTTAGACTAGTTCGCTCTTTTTAAATGCCTAATTCATTGCTCCTAGTAAGGATAGTGAAATACCCCTGATTTTTTAAAAAATTATAATAGACCAAAATCAGTACCAAAATCTTTTACTAATATTGTGCATCCCATACCTGAAACTCTCAACCCAGATGTCTAAAAACATAAGGTATGTCTTAAGAAAAAATGCAATATAATGAACTATTTATTTAGTACACTTTTATTATTTTTAATATACTGCTTTTAAATGTACATTGGAGGCTTTCTGCTTTAAATTTAAAAAACCATTTGAGGAGTAAAACAAGTTAATTGAAGAGGAAGAAGACGTAATGTAAATGGAATTGACACTGTAGTTATAGGTTCCCCAGAAACCATTTTATATTTTTAGTTGATTTAGTTGCTGTGCTTTATAGGGAATGATTTCATTCAGCTGCTTACATGATTTAAACATCCCAAGAACCAAAGGTCAACACTTCACTGCTGAAGTCAAATTAGAAGGGGAAAATATTTTCAAAGATTCCAAGAATTAACATTTATGAAATAAATAAGCCAGCATTCTGTTTACAGGAAGCAGGGTGCTGGAATTCTGGGGGAAAATGGTAGAGTGGGAGTAAGATAAGGAAGGAAGGAGGAGCATTGAGCCAACAACACAGAATTTCTACAGAGAAATGTAGGCAAAAGCAAACAAAACATCAAAGCTAGAAAAGACCAGCAAAAGGAACCCAGTTACTAAACATTTTTAAAAACCATTCTGAAATCTTTCTAACATTCCTGGTATGAAGAAAACAAATTCCCTAATTTCTTGTGAAAATTGCGACTCTGCTACACCTTACTCATCACTCTCTCTATAGTTGGCTGTAGAGATGCAACTTTTGGTTCCAGATTACACATTCAACGCTATTTAACTGTTAATCTCGAACAGCAGATCTCTGCCGGAGTTAACTTTTGCCCAGAGGGGACATTGGGAGAAATCTGGAGACACTGTCAGGGGTCACAGGTTGAGGGAAATAATGCTGGCATCTAATGGGGCAGAAGCCAAAGATACTGCTAAACAAACTACAACTCACAAGACAGCTTGCAAAACAAAGAATTACCCTGCACAAAATGCCAATAGCTCGAAGGTGAAGAATCACTGATCTCTTCTGAATGCAAGCAAAACCAACTCCCTGGACCTTTAACCCAAGCATCTTTCTCTAATAGACATCTAATTAAAGCATGAGACAACACCAGGGGACTCACGTTTCAACTGCTTTAACATGGTGGATGGTTGGCTCCCATTCAGTCACCCTACACTATACGGAAACACTATGACCAGAGCAGGAGTGCAGAAAAACAGGGAAAGAACTTTTTAAAATCCTTTTGTTTCACTTTTGAGTCAAGCACCTTTAAACTCACAAAAGAAAGACCTACATGTTTTCATATCAAGGTGTTTCTCTTCTTGCTCAATTCACTCAAAATACGCTGACCTTGAGGGAGAAAAAAAATCAATAATTCTCATTAATGTAAAAACTTTGGTAAACAGTATTAACTGAGATTTTATGTTGGGGGCGAGTGTAAAGAAAGACACCCAGGTCTTTAAAAAGCAAAGTTATTTCACAGTTTGCTTGCAAAATGACTCAGATCATTATTACTTCCAGTCATGCCAAGTTTGCTGCCTCTAAGACTACCAGTAATGGAGAGAGAGAGAGAGAAAAAAACAAAACCATTTTTTTCCTGCAGTCATTAAACCAATGAAATAGAAGCTTACTGAACACAGGCTTGTGCAATAGTTATTATTATATATATATATATATATATATATATATCCATAAAAGCAAAAGCAATCTCTGGGAGTACAAATGATTCTGAGAAATCTATTAGCTACCTAAAATCTATTGGTGGTGGGGAGGCCCAGAAAAGAAAACCCTAACGCAGAAACCTACAAATCGTATGCTGGGGCTATTTTCCTCAAGTCTCTCTCAGTCAAAACCCTCGCTTACTCTTTTTTTATGTTCAATCTCCCTTGAAACAACCGGAAAAGACCTCTCCGCGCAGCGTTTCACCAAGAGAACAACGCGAAGAGCAAACAGGAGCCTTGGCTGGCGTTGTACCTGGCAGATCTCATTCATCAGAAACCTGGCAGCGGGGAGGGGATCCAGGTGTGTCCAGACCCGCTGGTACCTTCACCTGGGTTTCCATCGCTCGAGGATCTTATTGGAGCAAATGTTACCCAACTTGGGTGGTTTCCATGCGCCCCCCCTCCACTCCCCAATCATAAAAATTTAGCATCCAGCCTAGCCTACATTTCCTTAGGCAAATGCCATCGGGTCAATAAATTCAGTGCTGCTTTAACACTGGAAAGTCTAAAGGAGGGGTGCATTTCCATCCCATAGGAAGGTAAAAGGAAAGGTGCATTTCCATCCCATAGGAAGGTAAAAGGAAAGGTGCATTTCCATCCCATAGGAAGGTAAAAGGAAAGGTGCATTTCAATCCCTTAGGAAGGTAAAAGGAAAGGTGCATTTCCATCCCATAGGAAGGTAAAAGGAAAGGTGCATTTCAATCCCTTAGGAAGGTAAAAGGAAAGGTGCATTTCCATCCCATAGGAAGGTAAAAGGAAAGGTGCATTTCCATCCCATAGGAAGGTAAAAGGAAAGGTGCATTTCAATCCCTTAGGAAAGTAAAAGGTGCATTTCCATCCCATAGGAAGTCCAAAGGAAAGGTGCATTTCAATCCCACCACCGAGGCCCCACAAATGGTGCGCTCCGCTCCCAAAACGTGGCGCTCTGGACGCGGGGGACCCACAGCCGCCACACCGACACCCTGTAGGAAGGGTTTCGGGCGGCGGGTGTAAGGGCTTTCATGTTCTTGTCACCCATGCATCGCCTTTCATCTTCACTAAGCTGAGCTAACTTCAAAGAAGGGGGCTCCCCCGACCCGCTCCCGGGCTCCCCGCGGGCCCGGAGGAGGAGGGGGCGGGCGGGCGAGGACCGGGAGCGGGGCGTCCCTCCCTCCACCCCCGGGCTCCGCAAGGCACCCACCCGACCAGCTCGGCACCCCTCCCGGGCGCGCCCGCCGCCGCCCGGCACGTCCCCCTCCGGTTCCAGGGCGCCGAGGGGCCCCGGACAGCGAGCGGCCGGACCCCCGGCTCCCGGGGCGCCCCCCCCCCCCGGCCCCGCGCCCGGCCCCTCACCGAGCAGCAGCAGCTTGACCTCGCGCGCCGCCTTCTCGCCGTCCTCGCGGAGGTTGCGGTCGATCATCTTGCTCCGCTCCACCGCCGCCTTGTCCTCGGCGCTCAGCGTGCAGCCCATGGCGCCGGGCGCGAGGAGGGCTCGCCGCGCCCTCCGGGTCCCACGCGCTGGCTGCGGGCACCGGCAGGTGAGCCGGAGGGCGGAGGCGAAGCGGCCGGCAGCCCCGCGCGCGGCTCTGCCCCGCGGCCCGGCTGTGCGCTCCCGCGTGCGTGCCCGAGCGCCCACGAGTCCCGGGCTGCGCGGCTCCGATCCGGCGACTGGCGCCCTCCCACCCGCAGCCGCGCAGCAGCCGGTCCGGCCCCGCCGCCCGCCGAGCCGCGTCCGCGCCGCCGCCGCGCCCCGCCCCGCGCGCCCCGCCCCGCGCGCCGCCGCGCCCCGCCCCGCCCCGCCCCGCGCGCGCCCGCGCACGTGCCCTCCGACAGCTCCGCGGGGCGGGTGCGCGTCGCGGCCGCGGACCCCGGAGCCGAGATCCGGCGAGGCCTCCGCCCCCGCTCCCCTCCCCGCTGGGCAGCGCGCCCCCCCGGGATCCCGAACTGCCCGCCCTGCGATCTCCCCTCCTCCCCTCCCGGGCTCCCCGGGCGGGAGCGGGATCGCGTCCCCGCGGTTCCTCGCACCCGGGGATGTGTGCGGACCTGCCTGCCGGGTGCGGGCGGGAGAGGAGCCAAAGTTGGGAGCCTCAAGAGCCAGTTCGGGGCGTTCCAACATGCCCAGTTCCGGGAGCCTCCCAAAGGTTTGGGAAATGCAAAACCCCTGTCCGCTGGCCTTTGGGGGCTGGAGGAAATAGAGGGAGCTGGGAAAGAATGGGAGCCCTGGCAAAAGCAAAGATGGGATTTGTTGTGGGGAAACAGGAAAGTCCGGAGGGGTGGGAGGGGGGGGGGGCGTATAGGAAGTCAACTTTCTTCCTTTTTTTCATTTCTTCCTTCCAGCCAGCCATTCAGCCAGCCATCCTGCCCTTCTCCCATCCTCGCATTTCTTTTCGCAAGCAGAGAACACGTTTTGAGGGATTTTCTCATTGCCCAAGAAAATGTGAGACAAAGAATCGAAGAGGATGTTTTTAAAATGACAAGAGGAATAAAAAACACCCACACAAATAAATCTACTCCGCGCTATAACCGCCCTCCTCTGGGGCCGCATGCCCAGTTTGGAACCACTATTTATGACCATGTTAGTAAATCACAAGCCACTGAGCGTGTCACGCCTTTTTGCAGGCCTTAGCTTCTTTGCCCATAAAATGAGATGGAGTGGATCCACACTATCCTCCACCCTTCCAGCTCTAACTGATCTGGGGAAGATAAACTCCTGGGCTGCAGGCATACTCCACCCAACAGCAAATGACTGTGCTCTTCCCCTTTCCCTTGCAGTCCTCGCAGGAAATGATTGTGGAAGATGGGGCTGGTAGTAAAGGAAAACATTTTCCTTGATTTATTAAACATTAGCAAAATGATCTTTGTTTTACATGTCTCATTTTCTAAAATCTATAAAAACTGTGCTTGAGTTTTCCATGAAGGCAAATAAAGCTGAGCTGAGGCTGCAGACAGAGTAGCATTTGAACAGGTCACTTAAACCGGGCTTGTGGGCTAGGAGAGATTATAAGTTTCCTCCTTATTGGCTATTTCCTTTCCTGTTCTCCTACATTAGCCAAACCTGCTGGGTTCTAGACATGCAATTTCAAAAACTACCGCAACTTTTTCTGTGCAAATTTGTATTATAACAACAGAAAAGAGCAAGCCTTAAAATAGTATGCAATGGCCTTGGGCTTGGACATGTGATTTTGGCTGGAGACGCAAACATACAGTTCATAGTTTATTTGAGAGGAAAACCCAGCTACAAGAGTTAATATTCACAGTACATAATGGAGAAAGCAATTGTTTTATAACTGAAACAAACCTAGTTTGTCTGTGAAGAATGACAGTGTAGGATAACGTTGAAAGACAGCTTTAAATATTAAGAGGGAGGGTTGAACTTTATACAATATGTATTAAATGTTCCCTGCATTCTCCTGAGTAGGATTTAAAAAGAAAATCTCTCACCCAACGAAACAAATGAGTTGCTAGTGGATTATGTTAGCAGCCCAGATATGAGGTAGTAAGAGTCACTTGAATTAATAATTTACATAATTATGATGTTGTAAAATGTGACTCAACAACCCTGTCAAGAAGGTGGAGCAGGTATTACTCACTCATCTATTTTATAGAGAGTGAAATTGAAATATAGAGGTTAAAAAAATCTACATCACATTAGTATTTGATTTCCTTCTGGACAACATATATTTTAAACAACTATATTGAGATAAAATTCACATGCCATATAATTTATTTCTTTAAAGGGTACAATTCAATCGCTTTTAGTATATTTACAGGGTGGTGCAACCATCATGACAGTCAATTCCAGAACATTTTCATCACCCTCAAAAGAAAACTCATACCTCATAGCCATTATCCCTCTATCTCTCCACCTGCTCATCCCGTGAGTTCTAGGCAACCACTAATCAACTTTGTGTCTGTGTAGATATGCTCATTCTAGGCAGTCTATAGAATGTGGTCTTTTGTAACTGGCTTCTTTCACTTAGCATGTTTTCAAGATTCATTCATGTGCACATGTATCAGTATTTAATTTCCTTTCAATGCTTAATAATACTGAGCATCATAATGAGGCAGGATAGTAAGAAGCTAGGAGAATTCCCAGGCAAGTGGAATGAAGAAACTGAAACAAGATGATTAAGCAAGGCCAAACAATTTGAACAACTTACAGACAGCCAGACCTTATCTTCCCTAACCAAGGACACTTGAGAGCAAATGGTTTACACCGCCACCCCTAACCAGAGAAGATAGAGCTTCAATTACATTGGTCTGGGAGATAGAGAACCGAGACCCAATTAATACCATTTGTTTCAGCTAAACCCAAGGATGAGTGAAGTCACTCATCCTTTTGTTAGGGGAACAAATAACAAAAACCTGATTAGAGCCAGACAGCTCCAAGATAAAAAATAAAACAGTAACACTGTAACCCCAAACTCTCCTATATGCTCATTTGGATGCTCAGCACATTTAAAAGGTATGAATATAAAAGTTGATGAATATTCTGCTGAAAACCTTCCCTAAGATTTTAGCGTTCTGCCCCGCCGCTCCCCCAAGAGAGATAAAACCCTCAAGACAAAAGATATCACTGTGGATTTTCTTTATAGCATACTCATACCCCTTCTTAGATGTGAACTTTTTACTTCCTCCTAAACTCTAAGAGTCCCCAGGAGACTTACAACCAGGGGAGCAGCGGGCAGCAGCAGCTCCTCCCAGGTTTACCCTCTGATCCTGTCTTCAAGGCCTCTTTTTCCTCTGACTTTCCAGTGAGCTGATGGCAGCCCCACCTTAGCTCACTTCTTTCACTGTGACTTTCCAGTGAGCTAACAGCAGTCCCACCTTGGCTCACCTTTTTCCTATAATGTTTTTAGGGAACATCTCCCAGGCTCTCCCTGTTCCTTCTTCTACCCAAAGAGTCCTTCTTTTGTTTCACTGTCCCCAGGTTAATAAATGTACTCTTAAAATCACCTGGACCCAGTCCCTGTCTGGTAGCAATAAGTCAGAGAGTTAGAGACATGTTAAAAGATAAATTGGGACACATTCAGCTGAGAGTCTCTAAGTCTTAAAGTAACTCCAGTGTCATAAGGAATAACTGAACATTTGGGGTTATTTAATATAGGAATAAGAGAAGATACAAAGTGACACGATCGCTATTTCCAAGAGACTGAAGAGATATCATAAATCAGAGGGAATATACATTTTCTGTCTGGATTCAAGGTGGCAGATTCAGAAGTATTGGAAGAAACCTAGTGCAAACAAATTTTACCTTACTATGAGGAAAAATGATGTACAACTCCCCCCAAAGAGAATGGGGAATCTCATAAATGCATTCATTCTTGGCTCAGATATAAAAATCTAGTCTGCATGATCACATATTGGGGGGAAATCCAGAGATAGGTGAACTTTTAGAATTCTCTTCAACCTTGAGATTAGTGTCAGAACTGAGGTTAAAATACATTTGAAGGCCATCTCATCTCTGGCCTTCAAATGTATCCCTACTCCTTCTACATCAGATAAACAAGCAAACAAGCAGAAGCAGGAAAGGAGAGTGTATCTAACATATGTTGCCTTGGTGTGTGGATGGATTAATGTGGCATCAGGAGGAACCATGGAAGAAGATAAAATCGGGACACACACACACATACACACACACACACACACACACACACACGATATCAGAAGCATAGTGTGTATGTTGGGCTGGATAAGTTGGAGGCAGATGTGGCAGGCATTTTGCTTTCTAAATAGGAAGGAGAGGGTTTGGTTTGGGGAGAGGGTAGGAATAATTAGGAGAATACAGGGCCTCGCATGGCATCTTTACCAATCTATAAAGATATTAAGGGCCCAAACCAAAACCATTTTGTGAGATTCTGGGAAAAGGTTGAAAACCCGAAATCTATTGAATTATTGCTGAGAGACTTTAAAAGACGAGTGGCACTCTGAGTGTGCAGCACTCTGAGTGAGACAGAGATCATGTAGAGGCCATTGTCCCTTGCACGGAACATACCACTGCTCAGCACCAAAGCAGCGATTGACTGAAGGCATCCAGGGACAGAACTCTGGGTGTGGACATCTGTATCTTCCTGATGGCCATTGAGCCATTGGCAATAGGCTCCTTCAAGTAGCTTCATAGACTGTGACAGTGACAAAAAGGGAGCTGGAAAAGAAGTAGAAAAACTTGAAGGCTATTAGGCAAGGACTTCAACCAACAGATTAGTTTGTGAATGTGATGCTGTGTTGATGGACTCTCAGAAGCATTTGGAGAACATTTTTGAGAGGCTCAATTTCCTGCCGAAGCGGAAGTTCTTGAAGTCATTGTGGATGAGGCCAGGGGGCACTGAGAAATAGAATACTGTGCTCTCCCTGATGCAAATCTCCTGGGACCCTTAGAGTTTGGAAGAAAGGAAGTAAAAACTTCATGCCTCAGAAGGGGAATGGATATGTATTCTACAAGGAGCCCACACCAGGTCTTTGTCTTGAGGT